TAACAGGAAGGTGTAAAAATAACTATTAGCCGGTGGTTCCAAGGCCCAGAGAACGAGCCAACATTTAGGAATGCAGAGGTGAAGTAGAGATGTGTTGATTTAATATCAGAGATAAACACGTCGCAGCTATTGTTCCTAATAGGACTTTGCTGCTTCGTTGAATGTAACACAATGAACTACAGCAGAAATCTTTCCTTGAAAACACCAAGAACATTCATATTTGATTTTTTTGTTGCAGCAGCAGCAGTAGCAGCAGACTGCTGAAATTGGGGTTAATTCTGAAATAAGAAGTCTTTATGCTGAAAGGGCTTTCGTGCAAGTCGCTTCACACTCGGCTAATCTGTAGTTGATATAATTTCCGGAGCAACATTAAAAGATATGAATAAAAGAAATGCATCCCATTATGTAGAGTGAGAGTGGGAATTACAGGGTTACACATGGATCATTTTTATATAAGAAACTCATGATACATCATAATATCTGATTAACTGAAGAATATTATATGCCAGCAAACAGTCAAAATGCGAGATCAATGTATTTATTCACTGCAATTTAGTGTCCGTTTCACCTCTTATTCTGCTTTAACCTTAAACCTCTTCTCTCTCTCTCTCTCTCTACCATTCACATTACCCTCTTTCATGTTATAAGGGCCACTGTGAGGAGGTGAAGAAATGATGTGGTGAGTCAAATGGCAGGATAATCTGTTTTAAGTGTTTTTTTATTAGAAGATCAACATTTTGAGATTCAAGAGATTTGATCATTTTTCATGCAAGTCAGGAGGTCGACATTTTATCTCACTCCTATATCAGATGTTGCTTTTCTCTAAATGACAAATATTCTACCTTTTTCCGATTTGGATTAGACAAATTTATTAATGGGTGCTATATTAGCTATGAGGATGAAACAGGGTCAAACTTTGAATAAAACAAGGAATCGTCTGATCTCTTTGTCTTTTGAACAAACTGACGGATGCAATGTTTTCAGTGTAGAGCCAAGATAAAGAGTGTTGTCTGTATTGCAGATATTTGGTCATAAACCAGAGTGCTTGATAAACTAATACTTCAAACAGATGGAGGTGTATGATATAAAGTGGAAATATTGCCAAAGTTACTAAAAATGTATCAAGAGGCCGGGCGTCCATAGCCTAGCGGTTATGTCGTGCAGTGGCTAAAGTCTTCATCGCAGCGGGTTGAATCCATCGTTGGCCCTTTGCTGCATCTCACCCCCCTGCTCTCTCCTCCCAACCTGTTCTTTCTGTCTTCAGCTGTCCTATCTAATAAAGGCAAAAAGGCCAAATAAATAACTTTTTTCAAATCCCAGAGAGCGGAACATGAACATGAGGTTTAAACGTTCTTGTCTATGTTACAGTTCTGAAGACATATTACTAAAAAACACCAAATGACAATCTACTGATGGCACTATAGAGACCACGTTTTGGGATAACCGAAGTGCAGGATGGTTTATCCTCTGGTTATCATGAATATTTTTGATTAATTTTTGGCATTTTTTTGGCATTCCATCTGATAGATCTTAAAAGATTTCAATCTGGACCAAAGTGATGGAACATCTTTCCTCCCCTACATTGCTATCTCCAGAGCGGTGCTGTCTGGAAGTGAAACAGACTGTGGTTGGAAACATTTTTGGCCTCTTGTTTAAAAAAAAAAAAAAAAAAAAACTCTTCCTACCCTGGAGCTCAATTGAACAACATTGAGGATCACATGAATCCCAAAACTAGGGTTAGATAACAGACCAGTTATGTTACAGTAAAATGAGTGTGTTCCTTCCTGATTGGACAAAAGTTATTGAAGTTCTATCAAATTAGAGGTAGTGATGATATTCAGTACAACATCACTTGTGTGTTGCTTTAATTGCAGTTATAAAACAGTAAATAGTACTTAAAAAGTAATAATCAATTACAGATTATTTTGGGCTCTACCAACTCAACTAATCCACAATGTCACTGAAAATGGACTGTTGCTAAGCAACCCAAACATACTCTTTGGTTGTGTCTGACGTTAGAAACTCATTCCTTACTCACTACAGCCTATAGGGAGTTATATGTAGTATAATATTGTATATAATATTTTATTGTGCTCATTGAGCACAATAAAACACATTTCAGACTACTTGCTCGCCGCGGGCCGACTGTGACGTCTTGATGTCGCACAACTGAAAGTACTAAACGTGTGCTTAACTCCTGCCGAGGATCAATAATAATAACAACGGTAAAAACAGCATGAACTTCAGTGATAACTTAACCCATACTGAGTTTATGTTTCACAAAACAGTAAAAATAATAAATACATATAAAACTTCATAAATCCTGAAGTCTTTATTCACAAGGCTTCTTAATTTTGGTAAAAAAAAATTGAGTTCACGCTCAAGTCCGTCTGAGAGCAGTCGAGTCAAACACCACTTTACCCTTCAAAAATAACGTTGAACAGCAAAGCGTGATGGATCAGTTGTACACTACTTTCCACAATGCATTGTGGGATACATTGAGTGGACTATATAGGGTATGATTGTGCTCACTGACAATTTGGTCACCACCTACAAAATGGTGTATTTATTTACAATATAGTGAATAGTGAGTGGTTTCAGACACAGCCCTACAGTGGCTACTTTGTCTCCATGGTTACCACGGACCAGCTACTTATTCTTTTTTAAAATGTATTGGTCAGTATGTCGTAATTTGTCTTAAAACCAGTGAAATTAAAGTCTGTTGTGTCAGGTGATGAATAAAGACAAACATACCTGCTGTGATGTTCATTAATCAGAACACCTGACTGAGGCGGACTGATTCTAAAAAGTGATGTCATAATCTGATGCTATGTTTTTTGTTCAGTCCGTTTACTTAGTCAGAAATAATTCTTGCGTGATGATGTTGGAGTTATTTTAAATGTATAGAGCTGTACCCAAATCTGCAGGGTTATAATGACAGAAAACATGAGGAGGCCTTATGGTGTTATCCTGAAAGTTTAACTCGTCGGTCCACTTGGACAAACACAAACGCTACCAACAAAAAAAAGCCACACAGGAGGAAGTGATAGGATAACGAGCAGCGATCCCTCTCTCCGAGCCGTAGCATCCGTAGAGGAAACTCTAGAAGACAGGGACACAGAGATATGAGCGCACAGCTCAGGAATGGAGGATGTTTGACGTTGTTCCCAGCATTCCCTTCTCCCAACTCCTTCCCCTCCGACACACTCCTCAACACTGATTGAACTGTTTGTGTCGCCTCCTGTTATTGTCAAAGGACTTTACTCTACACTGATTCCCCCGGCTATCTGACTGAATTCCCACCGGCCAGTGCAAGCTACGGTTTATATGTAACCAAGTGATGCTTAAAGAGCTGCAGAAACATGAAGAAAAGGAGGAAAGGGAGGTTTAGCAGAGCCGTATTTCATAATGTCAGCTGTGATCAAGCTCACAAAGAGGGTGTCAAACAATGGAAACTATATTTGATTGAGGTTCGCGAGGCATTTCCTGACATAACTTGAAAATTACATCTCATCTCAGGAGACTGAACGGGTTACAGGAAGGGGCTGCAAAGCTGAAATATGAACTTGACTCAAATTTTGTTGGAGTGTGCACAATTTAATTGGCAACCACACTGACTTTCTTTGTCTGCTTTTGTCCTGATTTATTTTCTATCCATCACAGTTGAGTAACTTCCTCAACCGGCGAGACAATATTAAGACTTGGATTAACGTGTTTGTGCAGGCGTTAGGCTAATGCTTTTACAACTTGTCCCTTGTACTTTAAACATTTCCAGACAGGAAAGAAGGAAAGCTTTCAAATTTCAGGAATGCACCAGGTTTTCCATTACCCTGGATACGCTGCATAGACTATGACTCAGTTTTTTTTTGGTTTTTTTTTAGGTGAAACTCGACGATTTTTCCCCAATGTTTGCACAGATTTCAAATCTGTGTACATTTGCACAATACTCTCAAACATGATTTCTACAGTCACTTGCTCTTAAATATTAAATGTAAAGTTGAATATTAAAGCAAAATCTAAATTCCAATAGTCTAATTCTCAATATAAAAATGTGTTTTTTTTGCATATAGTTTTACGTCATGAAAGCAGAGAAAGACATGCTCTCACACACATGTATGGGATGTTTACAGTCAGAATTGACTGCTTCTTCCTCCTTAACACATTGATAAGGCGTGTGCTGCCACTGACAGAGGAAACCACTCCAAAACTTCAAAGGTTACTGAGACCACAATGTTCAGCAGCCAATTTCAAGCAAAAAAGTTGCACATTTACAAAACCATTTACAAAAAGTCTACTTTTTTTTTTTTACTGTGGGAACATTTTTTACTTTCTCCAGCTAATGGGGAAATTAATGAGAAGGTATTAATTGTTAATAATCAATCATTCAGGTTAAATGAATGACCATCAACAACACTCAAAATTGGTATGAAAAAGAAAAAGAGATCTTTAAAGTCAGATTTAAAATTGGTTAATGCAAATCCATGATTGGAGACAAGTTGTGAAAGTTTTGTTCTTACTGAGGTTAAAGGTATCTACAGCACATAGTTTGAAATTGAGTAACTCTTAGCACTGCCTGGGTGGATGACTTTATGAGTTGATAGTATGTCCTGCTCATTGCGTCATTTCAAATCTAAATTGAGTTTGAGTAATTTCAGAGACATTTTGCAATTCAAAATAAAGGGTAACAGAAGCAAGTCATCAACACAATGGGAAAACATCCCCCAAAATCTATTGATCTTGAAGTGTAAAAGTTGAGATGAGGATCTTGCACGTGCCTCAATGTGTGTTATCTATCTGCACCACCCTGCACACTGAGTACAGAGCACATCAGGATGCAACATCTTAGTCTTTGGAACAAATGAGTGCAGGTCTGCTGCCAGGCTGTTTGATGAGTAAGCACAATGAAACGTTCAAGTTTGGTGGTTTTAATCATAGTTTGGATGGTGTTTTTTGTTTTTTGTTTGTTTTTTTTACAGAAGTTTCAAACTTTCCAAACTCACCTTCCAGCCCGCGGAGCTGTTGCTGTCCCCTTTGTCCTTGAAGTAAGGCACACTCTTCACCATCCAGTCGTAAATCTGAGACAGCGTCAGCCTCTTCTCAGGTGAGCTGTCTATCGCCTTGGTGATGAGGTCAGCGTACGACATGTTGCCCCAGGCGTTACGACGGGACGAGCTGCTCTTCCTCTGGCCGGGGCCACCCAAAGGTGCGACACCTGGATGAGGCACCTGTTGCTGAGGCGGCAGCTGTGGACCCGGCAGGTGCTGCTGCTGCTGCTGCTGCTGCTGCAGGTGGTGATGAAGATGCAAACAGTTTCCCTCCCGACACAGAAAGTCACTGCAGGGCACAGGCGGTTTCTCCTCCGCATAGCCCTCATAGTCCTCCTCTAACAACCCGAGGTTACTGATGAACTCGGGGTTTCCTCCCGGCTCCTGCTGCACCGACGGGGCAGGGGACGATGTGTTGGAGCTGGCCGGGTCAGTGACCTCCGGACGGGGCAGCGGCCAGGTGCAAGAGCGAGGGCGGGACAGAGGCTCAAAGTCCGGGTCTATCTCGACCGGCTGTGACTGTGTTGGCGCTACCTCAGCCATATCAGAGACTCTAACCTGTTTGTTCGCAGTCACACTGACACCCACATAAAAAAACACAAAAATCAATTAACGAAAAAAAAAAGCGCAGGTGAAATAAGAAAGCTTCCAGTCGGCTACTAAGAGGAATAAATCTAAACGTGTTGTGTTCAAAGTCTTAATGAAGTTCACTCCATCCTGCACCGACTCGTCAAACCTCTGAAGTCTGAGTCTCCCTCCTCTGCTCTCGTGCTCTGTCATAACAGTAGTAGCCTGCAGTGTGTGTGGTGCTGCCTTCACGGACCACACACATAGTCAGTCTTCCGGGTTGTTACAACTCGGCGGTGCATTCGAGGACGCTTTAAGTTTGTCAAATCTTGAAATACAAATGAGCATTATGTGTGCGGTTTATTCGTGGTTTGCTCATATTTCACGCCTAGTAGTCTCCCTTGAATCTTAAGATATCAGAGCTGTAAAAAAATAAGCACATTTTTATTTTATTTTGCCATGTTTGACTGTGCAAGGTGCCAACATGATGTCCTTTTTAAATGGCCATTGAGGGCCAAAAAAAAGGGTCACTGGCTCACTAACAACAAATATGCAACCAAAAAAAAAAAGAAAGTAACAAACTGTTGTTATTTCTGCCACCTCAGCCAAACTTTTTAGAGTGCCCCTAAAAGCAAAACAAATAAAGATGTGTTTTCCTTCTGGTGCTGTGAATAAAGAATATCAAACCAGCAGAGAGAACTGTTTTCAGAACAACCCACCTATCCTCTTTTGGTTTTCACAGAAAAACCCACTGTGCTTATTTAGAATAAATACACGTTAGTATTTTGTGTAGTTGTGAATTTAATACAAATGCTCCTATTTCCATTAACAGTCCAGCTTTTGTTGCCCTTTATTGTCAAGCCACTTGTATTTATGATACCAAAAACACAAAATTTACTCCATAAAATGTCACTTAAATAAGGTTACTCCATCGTATCCAGGACCCAACATGTAACTACATTTCAACAGGAGCTTGTAAAGTAGCAATATTAAGGACCAAGCCCAGTTGGAAGCTGTTAGAATTTACTTAAACTTACCTCTCAATACTGCCATCTAGTGGTGCATTTGTGTACAAAAAAAACAGTTGTCATTTCTACACAAACACACTTCTTCTGTTCTCATGAACACACACACGAGTAAGGAAGTGTTGCCAACGTGTTATCATGCCAATCATGATTGTGTTTAAGGAAAAGTGAACAAAATGTGGAAATGAGGCACTTTCAAAAGCCATGCTCCCTTTTTCCACACTTTGCCCAACAATAGACGGCACGGTGGCTCAGAGCAGAAGGAATCCCAGGGATACATTGTTGAAACTTCCCTTGCAGGAGGGAACAAGGTTCAAGGTCTGATCGTGCTCTTAAATTCAACCTTGATCTGAGGTCCCACATGCTTTTCACTGTTTACTCTTTATTTTCACAACCTTCCCGGGGAAAAAAAAAAAATCATAAATCATGATCACAGGTGTTTGTGTGAGCTTTGTTACAAAAATATTTTTGAGTGTTTAGATCAATGCACCATATGTTATTGTTTTCTAAAGCCATAAAAACATTTTTTTAATGAAACCATATATTATAAAACACATTTCTCTCAGTTTATAGTCCCGAACAACATTGAACCAATTAGACCATAAAGCTAAAAATCAACCCTGGAACTAATTTGGATTTACAGACACTGATAATCAAAATGTCTTAGTGAAATATTAAAGGTTATTATTTTGCTGTGGACAAACCATCAGCTGTAGATGTGAATATCCAGCAGAAAAAAAAAAAACAGCGAAAGATACGACTTTTCTGCTTTGTATTGTTTTTATACTTTGTACAACATCTTCTGCAGATCTTTGCCTGTGATTTAAAGATTTAACAGTATCCTATAGTCTGAACATTTATTTTAAACAAACGAGGCTTTATAACATAACAAGACATGATTCTAGTCAAAACAAACTGTTCTCCTGGAAGAGTCAAGAAATCTAGTCCAGCTTTATTCTGCATCCTTTTAAGCTGTACGGGAAAAGATGATGACCGTCCCGAAGCCTCACTGACTTGCAGGAGTCTTGCTTTTAATCTGTCCACATTCAAAAGCTACTGAAAACCAGTGAATTGTCTTAAGCTTAGCGAAGGTACACATCAGCCTCTTTAAGGACTTCCTCTTTCTGGTGGAAGTAGTCTCTGAACCAGGAAATGTGTTCCCTCTTCTGTTGGACTGTCAGATACGGGTTTCTGGACAGACCGGCCACCACGAGCTCCATGAAGTGACGCACCGGTCCCTGACTGGGGAAACCCTCCTCCAAGTGTCGGTCTAAATAGATATGCTCATGGAACGAGACGCCGACTTCCTCCTCGAGGCCTAGCGTAGAGCAAGAACACGTGGTCAGTGCGGCCCCTGAGAGGTCATCCTCTCCGTGTATTCAACTTGAATAACTCACCAGCTTCGTTGTTGATCGGGTACCGCCACAGCTTCCCCTCTTTGCTCCACTGGATCATTTCCTCAAGCCCGTTGCGGGGGAATTGGCTTGTCGACAGAGATAACTGATTAGCAAAGTCCATGTCCCAGAGAGTTGGCCGTGCTGAAAAAAATGACCCCAAGCAGCATTATGAAGTGAAATCAAAAGATTTTGGATATTTTACCCTAACTTCACATCATTAATCAATTAACAATGCTCTATTCTTGTTACCATGGGTTTTGTGAAGGCAGCACATTTCATTAAATTGAGCTAGAGTGGCTAAATGCTGGAGCACAAATGTCACTAATCACTTGAACACTGGTAACATGAACATGGTGAGAAGGAAGACAAACTTGAAGAGAAGAAGTGGATCTTCTGCTGTGTGGAAAACACTTTGGATAACAAACCTGAACAGTATTTCTAAGGCACGACGAAAAAGCTAGACACATTACAACGTTGACTCCATAAAAAAAGCTGAGGGATATAATAAAGAAACATAAATAATGTATTACCGACTGTTGTCTCAACTGAATCTGCAGCAGTGGCTGGAGAGAAGACATTCAGTCTTTTTCCGGAGAACATGGGCCTCCTTTAGAGAAACATTGAAGCACACATTTAACACACGGCCCGACTCAGACAATATCTGAACGAAGATGAGATGAAAGTATTTACCGTCTCCGGACACCATCCAGTTCAGCAGTGATCCCTCTTTCTAGTGTGTATCCTTTGCCGTCGTCATCAAACCAGATCTGATTAGCCGGCTTAGCGCTCTGCCGGTTGTATCTCTTTCCTACCTTCATGTCGGCAATAATCACCCTGAGAAAATATCGTTGAGACAATATGTATGACATGAGAATTGGCCCCTTCGTTCCCACTGTATTATCTCATTCGGAATACTAATTCTACTGAAATTCATATCGTCGACACTCACCCGAGGTTGTTCGTGTCTCCTTTCTTCTGAGCCTCAGTGACAGAATCGTTCTTCCTGAGCTGTCGGAGCAGCTCAGACTCGGCTTGGCTGCTGTTTGGGAGAGTGGAGGCGGCAGCAGAGGCAGCTGCGACCAGTGTAGAATCCAGAGCCTCGCTGATTAAAAAAAATAAATCACGGAGCAAAGAGGCAGGAATCAGTGAGAGAAGAGAGAGCGGGACGTGATTACATCCCATGATTAGTGGTAATATCAAGAAACAAATGGCAAAAAGATGATTTAACAACAACCACTAGGGGGCATTAAAGACAATATCTAACAAATACTGAAGGAAACATGAACTTCAATCAGAGAGGGGGAACTTAAAGAACAGCATCTTCTCACCTCTGTGACGCGGCCTCCCCTGTCGCCTGCTGAAACATACTGATTGTGCTCTCCATAGCTGCTAGGTTTGGCTTGGGGATGGATTCAGGCCTCGGACTCATTGTTTTTTTGCTTTTAAGCTTGCTCTTATTAGTTACTTCAACTTTCATAGCTCCAAGAAGGTCAAGGAGACTCTGTTTCCCACTATTAGCTGCAGGGCTCTTCACTTGTTTTGGTGGTTCCACAACCTCTTCAACTCTGACATCAGCCTGCTGCTGCTCCATGTCTACATCGTCAGTCTTCAACACCACTGGCTCCTCATTGTGTTCCTCTTTTTTGACGAGTGTGATTTCACCTTCAGCTTTCGGTGTGAGCAAAGTTGCCGTTTCTGTTGGGACAACGTCTTCCACAGCGTTTGTTTTCTCTTCCTGATGAGCGGGGGTAACGTCATCTTTCTTCTCACAGTGCCTGTAAGAACTCGTGCTGAGGGCCTTGACTCCACCTCCATTTGCAACCCTGCATCACGAGGAAACAGAGACAGTCATTACATGAGTTTGAGTGGCATGACAATAGTTATTATGATGGATTTTCAAAACCACTAAAAAAACATTACATTCAAGATTCAAGATCTTTATCGTCACTCGGGTTATACGACTACAATCGAGTGAAATTCTTGTCAAGGAGACATAAACATTATAGAATATAAAAACAGAACAAAATCACATTAAGAATAAAAAAATTAAATGTATATTTATGTTCTGACCACGGGACCATCCGCAGGAATGATCCACATTTTGGCACTTTTAAAGATTGAGTAACTCACTGAAGAAACAGACACTGACTGCATTATCTGGCACTTGAAACAAAACTTCACACATCAGCAGTATTCAAAATATCTGAGATGATTTCACATTGCTCTTGATTTAATTACGTCGTCTCCAACACGTTACAAATACCTGCCTCCTCACTTCTGTGACTAGTTCATTTTCTGAAAGTCATTAACCTATCACCATCTAGAAATAATAATAATAATGATAATATATTGTTTTTTATGGAACCCAAAGACGCTTTGACAAAATATAAAACCATAAAACAAAACAAAAAACTACGAGGACAGTACAATGAAGAAGTAATGTGGGGGGGGGGGGGGAGTTAGTGGTTGTAGGCAGTGTTGAAGAGGTGAGTTTTGAGGGATTTCTTGAAGGAGATGAGTGTGGGGGAGTCTCTGATGTTTTTTGGGAGTGAGTTCGAGAGGGTGGGAGCAGCAACAGAGAAAGCCCTGTCTCCCCCCCCTGCAGGGCCGAAGGTTTGTCCTGCAAGGGCGGGACAGGAGGTTTGCATCTGCAGTCCTGAGAGTGCGGGTGGGAGTGTGTCGGTGTAGGAGCTGAGACAGGTAGGGAGGAAGGGGCCAGGTTGTGAAGGGCTTTGAAGGTGATGATGAGGAGCTTGAAGTTGATACGCTGGGGGGACAGGGGACCCAGTGGAGGTCATGAAGAACGGGGGGTGATGTGGTCTCTGGCTGCGGAGTTCTGAATGTATTGGAGTTTCCTGAGTGAGTGTGATGGTGATCCGTAGAGGAGACTGTTGCAGTAGTCTAATCTGGAGGCGATGAACGCGTGGGTGAGGGTCTCGGCAGCTGAAAATGAGAAGGGATGGGCGGAGGCGGGCGATGTTTCTGAGGTGGAAAAAGGCTGTTTTGGTGATGTGTTTGTTGTAGGAGAGGGTTTGGTCCAAGATGACACTAGTGATGTAGTTGCAGGTTGAATTTTCTTAAATATTGAAGTGAAAAATATTTATGTAGAGCTATTGTATGCATAAGACAGTTTTTGAGTTTGCATTGTTTGTTGTGTGTAGTATTGATTATGTCATGTGTTTTTATTGTACAGTGAGTATGAATGTCATCAAGATAGGGAGGAAGTGTAACTACTATTTAACATATTAATGGAACTAATGGAGATCTTAATGAATAAACAACCAAAAATCCATGAAAAGAACTATCACTGGTGCACCTGAAAGAGAAATGTCAATCCCAATACTACGGTGGCTGGGAAGTGCAAAGCAAAATTACAAAGTGTTAAACACTTTTACAAAATGTGAGACAAATTTACATTTTGAAAAACATTTTTACATTTTAGGAAACAAAATTACAAAACCAAAAACACTTAACGAGGACAAAACAAATTTACAAGATGTGAAACACTTTTAAAAATCGCTGAGACAAATTTACAAGATGTGAAACACTTTTACCAGTCCCCAAACAAATTTACAAACGAAACGGAAAGGGAATGTACCGCGACAAAATAAAACAAACAAAATGACCCCTCTCTCCGGGTCACTTCTGACATTTGGTACGTTCCCATTTTGTCAAGATTCTGTCGTTTGTAAATTTGTGTGGGGATTGTAAAAGTGTTTCACATCTTGTAAATTTGTTTTATAAGATGTAAAAAGGTTTTTCAAAATGTAAATTTGTCTCACATTTGTAATTTTGCTTTGCACTTATCAGCCACCGTACAAATACAGTGCAGAATCAGCTCGCAGATAGCGACTCCTAAAAACAATTTTAAAAAAATTAAAGAAACACGTCATTCTTTGCTGGTCCAAATGCTAATAATAATAACACATGATACGATTTTATTAACTCTTCCTTAAAATTAATCCCTAAACAGCCAGTTAGTGACGTTACGCCTCCAAGTCACTGTAATGTAATGTCACCTGTTCGTGTTATCACAGCCTGAAACTCACCTGAAAGCTGAAGCTGCAGCCTTCTCACATTTTGATATCGACACACACGACTCATATACACTAACCGGATGATTAACCGCGAAGTTTAGAGTCCGTAATAAAAATCTATGCATGATTTCTTCTGGAAATGTCCTTCCACGCTCCTGACGTTTGTGTCTTTTGCAACGGCTTAATGTCGCCCCCGTGGACTAGAGCATCCCAAAGGTTCCGGGCTGCGGTATAGTGTAATTCTGTAAAGCGCGAAGAAACAGAAGAAAATGTGTATTTTATTGGATAGTCATGTAAAATATTTTTGTTTATTTTGTTTATTTGAAAAGTTATAATACATTTCCCTTTTCGATTTTTACATTTCGGTACTTTAAAAAAAAAAAAACAGAAGAAAAAAGTTCCCAGTCCAAGTCTCGCGATATCTTAACCGGAACGTGACTCAAAATGGCGATGGAATACAAGCGCTAATTCACCAGCGGAGGGTCCCAGCTGCAAAAACCATGATTTAGTTAGTTATTTACACCCAGAGATGGCTATTCATCGAAAAGAATCGGCTTTGCGAAACAATTACCGTTGCAAATTTCGATATTGAACGATTTTACTCGCACAAGTTGCTGCTCAAACTCAGAAAGGAGAGGACAACTTCAAACAGGTAAAACGTCAACGGAAGCTAAGTTATTAGCATCCGAGCTAACATCCAGCAAAATGTAGCTCCCTTTAAGTTTATTTTATTTTTTTAAATATGCGCACATGCAAAGTTCCTTACGCTTCTTTTTTTTGCTTTGAAAGTGACACTTTAATATAAATATGTTAATGCTTGTGTGTTTTTTGGGAGCCGGTTTAGTTGTTATTCCGTCAAAGTGATAAACCCGCTTTCTTCAGAGCGCAGTGTTTGTATACACACAAATAATAAGAATATGTGTTTTAAACTGTCCATTGTTTGGGTTTTCTTTAGTGCTGCATGTTCTTTGTCTCTCTGAGAGTTTTACATTATCCATTTCAAACTTGTAAACATCAAATTCAGTGAGGTATCTCTGTGCACAGTGAGCTCATCTTTGCAGACTCATAAACCTGCAGAACCTCTTGTCAAGGTGCACAGGAGGATTTACCGCACTTCTCAGTTATTTTCACAAACTTACTGGCATTTTAAAATACAGTCACCCATACTGTAGGTCTGTGATTGATCTGTACTGCACTTGCACTTTAACTTATGTCAATACTGTCCATTTACGACTCTGTGTTTGCACATTTACATTTAATCTTCCATATTTAATCTTCCTATTTAAGACTAGTAATGCTTAGTTAAATCCTGGTTGTATATATTCACATTCTTTTTAAATTTTTTAGTACTTATTTACTTTGTATTTAATATTAAATTTGCTAACATTGTGTTTTTTACTCATATTGTGTGTTGGATAGCCTGCTGCTGTAACGCCACATTTCCCAGTTTGGGATCAATAAAGTAATTCTATTCTATTCTACTCTATTCTATTCTATTCTATCTACTGCTCAGCTTGAGCTTTAGGTCTGCAGTTCTTTCCCTGTGACATTGACACTTTCGTATACCTGCATGCCTACTAGGAGATGAAGAGGAATTAATGTCAGACTCAGGACAAGTTGCTGTTACTGTCAGGCTCCTTAGAGGATGTTGTGGGTTTTTTCTTCTTCTAATATTTGTGTCAGATTGCTTAAGAGTAAAAATGTTGCTCAATTAGACCAAATCATTTTCTTGCACATTGCGTGTTGGGAGTTATCTAACAATCTGGACCCTGAACCTCTCTCCAGATGCGTTCAAAGACAGGACGGAAACAGGGTAACGAGAAGCACTGTGAGTGGAAACTGTAGCGTACAACATGGTAGATCTACGTTTGGTCAATCAGCCTTCTCCATCAAAGGCTGTAACTCTGAACACACCTGAAATAAAATTCATCTCGGACTTAAAATCTTTTACAAAACAGGTGAAATGCTCAAAGCAAGCCCGAGCTGTACCCACTTTTAAATAGTATCTTCAAACTTAAACTGGTTTATAACATTTGTATTGTTGTACATGATCATTTTAATGTATCCTCATATCATGTTTTGGGGTTTTATGTAACTGAATGTTGAACATTTTAATCTGTTTGTTTACACAAAGGCCCAACTTGGAAATTAGCAATATCTATATACTCTTTATGCAGCACATCAGTTTCATTTATGTTAAATTGCATTGTCCCTATTAAATAAATAAATTGAAACAAATCTAAATGACCTCTGATGAGCCCAGTTTCCCCCTGCAGACAGAGGTATGACAGCTTGTTGAAAATGTTTTAAAATACTGAGCTGCAGTAAAGAACATGCTTTCTTATATTTATATTGGATGAGTGACTAAATCCATGCTACAAATGTGTCTCATTATGTCATGCTGTACCCAGTTTACGCTTTCTTTGTCATTTAACCTTAACTGTTTTCAACTTGTATTTTCACTAAATTCCTTCTAGCAAAGGGTGTTGCAAATTGGCACCTGCTATAAACACTTTGACACTTGCATCGGAGGGCTGTTTTCAGTTCATCTATGTATATTGTATCTGTCCCTATCGCGTAAACCATAAATAATAATAATTTACTATTCTCTTGCAAGGCTGTCCTTCGTATTTAGGAGTTTGTGATTGTGACTTTCAGCATAATTGAGTTTGTTTTGCTGTCTGTGAATTTGATAGAACTTATGATTATCCTACAGAGAAAATAGTGCTGCATAGGGAATGAATATGTGTCTCATTTAAAAAGTGAATGTCTGTAGAATGTGGTTATTTTGTGTGTACGGTGATATTCATATATCTTTATGCTTTGTTAGCCATGGCAGAGGAACGTCGGCAGAAGCAGTGCACGGTCATCTTGCCCACAGAGTCCATGAAGGCCGTGGCAGAGTCTGTGGGAGTGGGGCAGCTACAGGAGGAAAGCTGCGCAGCCCTGAGTGAAGAAGTTAGCTACAGGATAAAAGAAATTGCACAGGTAAAACACAGCCCAGCGCTGCAGATGTATAAAGTGTTTTTTGTGTCTTGAATAACTTAAACATTCTTTAATGCCTTGATTTATTCCAAATAAAATGAATTAACTTTACATTAATTTTTTTATTCCTTTGTCTTTCTCTTTTCTCTCTTATATGTAGGATGCTCTCAAATTCATGCATCATGGAAAGAGACGCAAATTAACCACCAGTGACATTGATAATGCATTAAAACTGAAAAATGTGGAGGTAAGTGAGAGACTGCATACTCTTAAGACCGTATTGTTTACAGCTTGATATAACCATCTTATGGACGTCAGTTGAAGGAGAGTGTAACATTAGTCTTGTACTCGGTTTCCCCCCTCCCCTCTTTTAGCCACTGTACGGGTTCCAGTCACAAGAGTTTATACCTTTTCGCTTTGCAAGTGGTGGCGGAAGAGAGCTTCATTTCTACGAGGAAAAGGAAGTCGACCTCAGTGACATTATCAACACACCGCTCCCTAGAGTTCCACTAGATGTGTCTCTTAAAGGTACCCAGAGATTCCATATTAGACGTAATGTTATTGTTAAACTCAATAATTTAGTGTGTTTTTTTTTTCCAGTCCTGTATGTTTTTGATCTTATTTATAATGTTTGTCTGTTAATCCACAGCCCACTGGTTAAGTATTGAGGGGGTGCAGCCGTCTATTCCAGAAAATCCTCCACCTGGTGAGTCCGTTTAAACTATCTTCTCTTTATACACCATGAATATTGAGGAAATACTCATTTTTTTTATATACCCTGCCTTGCAGCACCAAAAGAGCAACAAAAGGTTGAATCTACAGAGCCACTCAAAGTGGTCAAACCGGGTCAGGAGGAGGAAGGTGCGATTCAAGGCAAGGGTCAGGGGGCAACATCTGCTGATGGCAAAGGTCAGTATTTTGTGTTATGTTAAAATTGAAGCTTTTCTTTATGTTCTTCTCCTGCCCCAATTCCTTTACTTTCGTCTCCCCTTCCTTAATTTAAGGATCATGTTTATACCCTTAATCCTATGTTATTTTGTCTTCTCTTTCAGGAAAGGATAAGGGTCTAATACGGTTGAAGCCACGCAGCACTCATGAGCTGTCTGTAGAACAGCAGCTCTACTACAAGGAAATCACAGAAGCATGTGTTGGATCCTGTGAAGCTAAGAGAGCTGTAAGTCGTGCCTGTACATTCTGTTACAAACATAGCTCTCTCATTTTGTCTTGACTCAATTCTGTACCGCGGTTGATTGAGCAGCTATAAATCGGATCTTAAATATTTGCATAGTTCTATTTTTTACTTTATGGGTTGTACTTTCTATTTTCATAGTTGTCTTGACTACGCAGACAGATGCCTCATGTTTTTCCATTGCACTTTGGTGTAGTGACAAAACAGCTATTCTTGTTCTTATGCTGATAAACTACAGAAACTGTGACAATTATTCGTAACTCTGAAATGATGAAAAGTTGTTTTTTTGTAACCATGTTCATCCTCTCTTTTTGTTTTTAAAAAAATGTCTCCTCTTCTCCTCTAACAGGAAGCTCTGCAGAGTATTGCTACAGATCCTGGACTGTATCAAATGCTGCCAAGATTCAGCACATTCATATCTGAAGGAGTGAGCATCTTTTCCAACTTGTTGTATTTCTCTGAAACATAAATCACCTCTTACAAAAACAACAACAACAACAGCGCATTTATTTTCCTGAAGTACTGACTCTACGCTCTCTTCAAAGGTTCGTGTAAATGTGGTGCAGAACAACTTGGCTCTTCTGATTTATCTCATGCGGATGGTCAAAGCTCTTATGGACAACCCCACGCTCTATTTGGAGAAATATGTAAGTAAATGTTTATATTTTATTGGTATAAGCTCTTAAAAAAACATACTTACTAATACTTTTCCTTTGTGTATTCCTAGCTGCACGAGCTCATCCCAGCTGTGGTGACGTGTATCGTGAGTAAGCAGCTGTGCTTGCGACCGGATGTCGACAACCACTGGGCTTTACGAGATTTTGCCGCTCGCCTCATGGCCCAAAGCTGTAAAACGTTCAGTACTACAACCAACAACATCCAGTCCCGTATTACCAAGACTTTCACCAAGGTAGGTTTTGTGCAGCACATTTGGGTTCGTGGGCGATCACTTGTAAAGATAAACGTTTGACCTCTGATTAAAAACTCTTCAAACACTGAACCAGACTGACATGTTTCCTCAGAGCTGGTTGGATGATAAAACCCAGTGGACGACACGTTACGGCTGTATAGCTGGACTTGCTGAACTCGGATCAGATGTGAGTGTCATTTTTTATTTATTTTTTCCATGTGTCTTTATTGTTTTTTTTGTTCCTTTTAATCCGTCATCAATCTCCTGATTTTGTCCCCTGCAGGTGATCAAGACGTTGATCCTTCCTCGGCTTTCTGTAGAGGGTACTCGCATCAAAGCCGTGATGGACGGACCAGTGGTGTCCAATATTGACAAGATTGGAGCTGACCATGTTCAAAGCCTCTTACTGGTAATACAATACATGTGGGGATAATTATAATTAAAAAGTCAATAATATTCAATCAATTTAAGACATTATATATGAATAAAAATGCTATTTAGAGAGGTAGATAGAAGTTCAGATATAATCGTACATAATATGTCTGGAAATACTGCAAAGTCTCAGCAGGTGCAGAGTAGATCTGAGTTATTTGTAAAATTAAACAGTTGATGAATTTCTCACAAATATGACATCAGTAATTCCTATCAAGCCTAAATGTGTGTTTCATGTAAAAAAACAACATGTTTTTATTTTGATAGAAACACTGTGCAGCTGTCATCGCCAAGATCCGACCTCAGCCTGACACGGTGGAGCAGTATCGGGCAGAATACGGTTACCTCGGACCCATGCTGTGCTCGCACGTAATGAAAGCCAGGACTCAAGCAGCACTGCAAGCTCAGCAGGTCAACAGGACCACACTAACAATCACCCAGGTACACCAGACACTCAGTGAAAATGTGCTTTAGTATAAATAACGGGATAAATATGGGATGATTAATGATGAGTTTTTTTTTTCCTGCAGCCTCGCCCCACCCTCACCGTCTCACAAACTGGGATAAGTGGGTCGACCGGGCCTCGCACTCCAAGCATCATTAAGGTGCCGAGCTCCCTCACCCTGATGTCCCCTCGACCAGGGACCCCATCACAGCCTTCTCCCCCAGCCACAAAGTACATCGTCATGGCAACCAGTGCAGGAGCTTCCTCGACTCAGCAGGTGCTTCAATTTTTCAGTTTAACATCACAGTGTTGCTCTTCACGACCAACACGGGAAACCACCAGAGTGTATGTTAGTGAGCACAAGAAGAACTACAGAATAAAGACATGATAATACATTTAAAATATTTTTTAAGGATTGTATGAAAACTTATTATAATAAATGATGGTATATACTTATTTTATTCACTTCGCCTTAAAGTACCACTTTCTCATATTCTTTTCTAATTTCCCTCTAGGTAATCACCCTCAGCTCTTCCCAGTCTGCCTCACCGGTCACCAGCACTGTTCCCAGTGCCACTTCCACCCTGCAGCCTCTGGTTAAACTGGAGTCCGGCGGTGGCCCCGGACTGACGGGTCAAAGACCGGTACAGAAGTACATCGTGGTGTCTCTGCCTTCGTCTGCCTCCTCCTCTTTGGAGTCTAAGAGCTCCATGCTGCCAACCTCAATCTCCTCAACCCAACTAGAAGCAGGGATGAAGCTTGAAAGGTCCGAGTCTCCTGGAGCGAGCACACAGTCGCCACACTGAGACTCGTTTAGGTAGTGGAACTTTTTTTTAACCATGCTGATGCAGCTGAACACACAAGGAGGTCTGCTTGGGCTGAATTTAGAGGAATGAACCCTGGAGTGGTATGAAGGGGGATGTTTGAACTTTTGAACGGATTAAAAAAAAAAAAAGCAAATGTTTCCAGACATTGTAAATATGTTAATGCCCAATGAAAACTGAGGTCCCTCTGTGAGATCTGTTATGTTTCAGCTTATATTCTAATGATTTCATGTTCTTTTTTACTCTAAAATAAATCAGATTTTGTATGAAAAATGTTTATCTGGAGGATTGCTTTATTTTGAGCTGTCTGCTGTTAGCATCAAACTAAGATGGCTTAAACTTGTTTTTCATGCTTTATTACAAGTGTACTCTCGTGTCTTCACTCATCACAAGTCACTTCAAACCCAATAGTCAATGGACTGTTCTTACTAAGTGTTTTTTTTTAGTGTTCAAACCACTCAAAGCACTTTTCCCCAACATGTCACATTCACACACTGATTGCAGATGATGTTATGTAAAGTGCCCGTTAGTATAAATCCCAATCATAAACATTCGCACCTCCCTGTCAATGCCACCTGGAGAAAAATGGGGTGCAGCGTCTGACTCAACATGTAAACTGGGATCAAACCACCAACCGTCCAGCTGACAGATGAACACCGACACTGAGCCACAGCTGTAAGTAATTATGTTGAATAAATATCTTATAGCCTACTTACTTCATGTCAGTTCACAGAACTTAAGTTGCATTGTATATAAAGACCACTGCGTTAAGAATAATCAACTATGGCTTTTAACAGAAAGGGTGCTGATAATGACTATTTTGTAATAAAATGAAAATGAATACCACAGTGAAAGCAAGCTGAAATGAAGTTTAATTGAACTCCTGGGTTATATCTGATTTTCAAATGATAGGGGTTAACTACAACTCTCACTGTCTCATTACATCACATTAAGAAACTAACATTTCGCGGGGATTACACAGTAACTTCTTTTTTTATATCTGAAATCAAAAGATATTTAGTAAATGTATTTGCAATCGGATTTGGTTGATGTGTTATAAACAGAAAAACATTTCATTAGCGATAATTAAAATCAAATATTTTATTTTGAAGGCGACATTGCAGCGCCGGTGTTACGGGGAGTTCTGCTGCCTTGTAAAAAAAAAATACTTCCATGGCGCGAAACGTTTAGAGGAGCAAATCCACTATCCAGAAATGTTCCCCGTAAGCACTTTCTATCAAACCTGAACTTAGTCATTGTCTGACAATGGGAAGCAATGAGTAACAAACCTTTATTTTGGATGTTAGGAGAAGGTTGCAGTGACGCTGCGCATGCGTAGAGCCCCCCTCAATAGCAACTGCAATAGGTAGCACTTTTCGCCAGAACACCTGAACCTTTTCCTGTGTGTTTGCGGTGTCCAACGCGGTTACACTTTACTTTTATTTGACCACGCTTCAGTTCAGAAGAACAAGACAGAGTTAAGAGTTACTTTCAGTATATGAGAAGCTGTTTCTGTCGTTTCCGCAGACATGAATTTTAAAATACGGGCCGCGACGAAAGAAGACTGCAAAGAAATATCAAGAATGATCTTGGTGAGTGACAGACCCGGGTTGTTGTAACTGAGCATGCTCCTCTCTTAAAGCTGTTCTGAATCATGCATGCTTTGCTGTAATGATTGTAATAACAAATAAGAACTCCCTCTTTTTCGCAGGAGTTGGCAGTCTTTGAAAAAATGCCTGACCAGGTGAAGATATCTCATGAAGGTAAATCTGCTCTTATTTCCCTGACCCTGACTTCAAATAAGTTTGATTAAAAGTATTATGAGGTCAGATATTGAAAAGGATTATTTAGCCAGTATCTAAGCCATAAATGCATCCATTGTTTAACCAGACAACACGCTTAAATTATTATTTTTTTAGCATTTTTAAGCCCAGATAAAACTTTAAATAGCACATTAAAGATGTCAGTGTTTTATTGGGAGTTTCCCAAGAAGCCATGCCATTAAGTAAATATGCAACTGATTGGTCCTGGATTTGCATTGTTGTATCTGAAGCCTGCAAAGTGCAGTGTGACATCGGTTAAAGAATAAGCTCAGAAACACTTAGTAACTAGACATATTTAAAAACAGGTTAATAGAGAACTTCATCAAAAACTTGGTCATATGTGTGGGCAGGATTTTCTTGATTTTCTCCTGATACAAACCCTCTCTTTGAGGTGTATCATAGATTGCTAAATGGTTAAACAAGTCTGAACAAAGTCTGCTGGAATATTTGCAATACTACTCCTGTCCTTTTAAAGGTACATCCTGGTATTTTTACCACTAGCTGTGTTGTTGGGCAATATTTAAACTATCAGGCTGGAATAGTTTGTGTATCGTGTTGTGCTTCGTCCTGAGCACATTTCTGCTAACTGAAGATAATGCGTCAAATCAACATGTGGAGGATACGTACCATGAAGGGGAAGCGATGCACCCAATAGAGAGGAAAAGAAGGAGACTGCAAGCAGATACGGATTTGGCACATTCAGGACATGACTATTAAAAGGTAGGAAAGGCAGCAAGTATATTCAACTTAAGGACTAGTTCACCTGAAACCTTCAGCATAAGAGCTTTTCATTTGTTTTTAAAATGGAGAGTAGATAGATTTTATCCACAGCTGGAGCGATGTTATTCCTTTACATGTTGGTTGCGTGAAGGCATATTTTGTAGCATCATCACCATGTGCTGGGGCGTTAAGTTGTAAATTAAAGTATGTACGAACACATATGACTTTCAATGGAAAGATTAAAACGGTAAATTATGTGTTTTTGCTTGACTCAAGAACTGGAGCGTGATGGTTTCTGCCAGAATCCCTTCTTTGAGTGTCTTGTTGCAGAAGTGCCTGAGGAGAATAAATCTAAAGAAGGTAAGGAGTTGATCGAGGTTTTCTCTGTTGTTGTAATGGTTGTCAGCCCGCCGTGAACTTGTCTGCATCATACCCAGAAAACAAAAGTCCTGTATCTTTGCTGTTGAGAGATGCCAACTTATTCCACTGTATTTTGCATTAATTTCAATAATTCAGATGTTCTTTCTTTCCTCGTTTGAAATGCATTTGACTTTTTCCCCTTTAGGATTCACAGTGGTCGGATACGCTCTTTACTTTTACACCTACAGTACTTGGAAGGGACGGTCAGTATATTTGGAGGACTTGTACGTGATGCCAGAATTCAGAGGTAACATTTGCCTTGAAGTTAGGTCAAGAAAGCATTGGGGAAAAATGTATTGGGGAGCTGCATGGTTCATCATTTCATTAAACAAATCTTGATCTTACTTTTTTTTTTTTTAATCATTTTCCTTACAGGAAATGGGATCGGCAAGGGTTTACTGAGCAAAGTGGCAGAGGTTAGAAGGTTTTTTTTTCTGGTCGTTGACAGTATTATTATAGGAAAGTTTGGTTGTGTGATAAAATTGTGACTTTTTCTAAAGATCACTTCTTTGTGGATATCTGTTTGACGTACACTTTGCTGTGTGACGATGATGCAGCATGATAAGCAGAAGAGGCTCTCTTTCTGTTCAGGTGGGGAAAAAGAAGCAGTGTGTGCGGCTGCAGTTATCGGTGTTGGACTGGAATACTCCTGCTCGGGACTTCTACGCTGCTAAAGGAGCTCTGGATCTCACTGACAGTGAAGGCTGGCACTTCATACGATTTGATAACCAAAACCTGGACCATTTAGCAAATGAAGCACCAAAAGATTGAAATATGAAACAAATGTGACTGGTATATATGTTTTTTTTTATCTTTTGTAAGGCTCGGCCAAAATAAGCTTCACAGCCATGTCTATCATGGTTGCAGTTCAGTGCAGAGTTCAAATTTACAAATCTGTTTGCAGACAGAATTTTCTTTATAATCCCCCCCCCCCAAAAAAATAATAATAATAATAATAATAATAAAAAGATCAACATTTGCTAATTATCAGTCCAGCTCTGAGGTCCTTTTCACTTTTGAAGGATCTAGTGACACTGTATGAAGTGTTAAGTCCAGGTTTCCAGCAGCACTGATTTCTTTTAGTAAATCAAAGCCAGGATGTGATACCATGTCACTCCAGTAGGTGGCGTATTGAACCAACAGACTTTATGCTCGTAGTTTTTGTACCCGTTCTTCCTGATGCTGAAAAACCGTCTACATGAGATGAAATACGGTCAAGGCAACTTTTGATGGTTTGTATAGATGCATTTTCTTTAAATTTGTCCATTTGTTGACATCAAATCCTTTTTCACTAAATGCATAAAAAACATCCAGCCCTGTGTCTATATCTGTCTATATCTCTCATTAACATTCCCATCATTTAGTGCAGTCAGGTACTGGTCATAATGTTTATTGAGTATAATAACAAACAAAAATCTACTAAAGCACATCACCCAGAAGAGACCATATAACAATTTACAATGAGTATACATGTGTCAAAAGGCATTAAAACACACAAAACATACAACAGCTTTTTGTCTTTTCTTTTTTACATTGTTTAAACAGAGACCATCAAGTTTTCTGCACCCAAAAGTCACAGATTCAGAATATTCTCCTTGATATAGAAACAACAGCACAATATTAAATACCTCTTGTTTATATAATGTAAGCCAATTTATATATCAGGTTCTTTGCGGAAATTTTTAGGATAGATTTTTTAGCTTCTAACCTTTATGGACACTCAATGCTTATTTACACTACAGGTGTCAGGAGTATTCTACATGTAGCATAGCCTCAAGGAGTGCCTTTACAAAAGGTATGCAACACACATCTTACTCAACCAAGGGCACATGACAATCACAACACTATGTACTTTTGTTATGTACACTTTGGAACATAAACATAAGAACAGTCGTAAAAGAGTTTAAGGTCATCTAAGCATTAGAGAATGTCGAGTGCAATGTAGTCCTATTCTGGATAAAGTAAAATAAGTTAAAATAGTGCATAAGAAACATTTTGAAAGTTTGGATATAAAAAAGTTATAGAATTAGTCCTTTATCAAAATTCCCACCATATTCTACATATAATATGAGTATGTATATGCATATATCCATTATATAACTCAGACTCATTCTGAGTCGTAGCCACTTTGAACGTAAAAATGTTGCAGTTTGTTTTGTTTAGCTATAAAGTAGACCATATCAAAAACTCATAGGCATCACTAAAGTTTGAGAACGTATGAAACCAGTATATCAAAGTTATATATCAGTATATCAAGTTTCCTGCTGTTAAAAAAACGTTACAGTGATCATGGGCCTGTTTTACATCGTTAATGCTGCCCTCACATGATGCATTTAGAATACTATCATTGCTCATTTTCTCTCAATCTGTTCAATTGACTTCAACGCAGCAGGCTTTTCTTCTGACACAGTCGCCTCTCAGACATAAGCGTTTCTCCCATAATAGCTTGGGGCTGACTGAGATGCTGCCACGGCTGACGGCGCATGTCCTCTGGAAGTTGGCTGGTATTGGTATGGCCTAAAACAAAGAAATGAAAGTGCATACATTTAGAGAACATGCACCTCTACCATTGTACTCACTGAACTGCTATTAAGCGTTTTAGCAAAGGATACTCACACTTTTTCATTGTCAGATTTGAATCTGCACGAACACATCAGACAGGAACCTCCACAGAGGGCGAGTGTGGCTGAACACCAGCCAATGTACAAGCCCTCTCCAATCTCATACCTGTGATACAGTAACACAGGTGTTTCAATGTGTCATCTTTAAAATAACAGCATGAGTTATTTCAGCTTATGACTGAGTGCTGACACAGAATATATTGACTTACTTTGTCCCTGGATAAAACTGGTCAAAGAACTGCTGTGTGATGTTGGCTGCATACCAGGACACAGCAATCATGGTGCAAATCCCTAGAACAGAAAAACATTGTGTACTTAAGACCTTAAGTGTTTTCTCAATGGTCCCAATGTACACTGTTACAAGCTAAGCTCAAATGGACAGAGTCAGAAACTTTTCAGAGTTTGAACAGTGTGTGGAGAGTAAAGTAATAGAAATGTAGATCCAATTTCCACCAGTGATTTTCATGCAATATTATAGAATAATTTCGGAGTCAGACATGAAGCAAAGGCACCCGCCAACAACTGCATGAATCAGCTTCTTTATGACCACTCTACACGCTCCTATTGTCATTTCATGATAGATGCTGCCACTATCCAAATAAAGTTTAATAGATAAAGCAGTAAGAGTCTTTTCAACAGAACTAAGTACTTTGGTAATCATTCACTGTTGTAAATAGTGTGAACCAATTCAAATAACTTCAGTAATGCCATGCTTTTGTGCGTCAGGAGAATTGTTAGAGTAATGATAACCTTTTGAACTGGTGAACCACTTGTAAATATGTTAATGCCCAATGAAAACCGAGGTCCCTCTGTGAGATCTGTGATGTTTCAGCTTATATTCTAATGATTTCATGTTCTTTTTTACTCTAAAATAAATCAGATTTTGTATGAAAACGTTTATATGGAGGATTGCTTTATTTTGAGCTGTCTGCCGTTAGCGTCAAACTAAGATGTCTTAAACTTGTTTTTCATGCTTTATTACAAGTGTACTCCCGTGTCTTCACTCATGAGTTTTGTTTTTAGATGAGGTTTGACTCTTTGTCTTAAATGAGTTTCACGTACTGTATGTCTCATTGAAAACAATGGAGAGAATATATTTAAAAAATGTCAGATTTGTTGATCCTTTCCAAAGAGTTACACATAGGGACTTGGAAGTGACTTCTAGCCCAATATTTTCATGCATTTTTCATAACATTACCTTTAAATCTATCCCCAAGTCTTTACCTTGTAAAAGGAAGAACACTCCACCAATTGCAGCTATCCTCCCCTTCAGGATGTAGTTTTCTCCTCCTATTTTTGAGCATTGCATTCCTATGAGAGTTGCCACAAGACCAAACGTCCCAAACACAATGGCGGCGATCATGAGTGCCCGAGAGGCTTGAATGTAACCTGTGGGAAGACAAAAAGAAGCAATACGTTTATCATTGCATGTGGTCCATAGACACGTACATATTTTATGCTAATACAACTCATATTTTTACAATTATTACTGGTTTTGTAACTATAGATCTGTTTTGTTCATTGTTGTTGTTTTGTCTTTATCCATCTATTTCTTTCTGCATCTTTCGCTATCCCACCTTCCAAGCCCAACACAGTTTTGGCAGATTGCTGTTCGACAAAAGTCGGGTTCTGCTCGAGGTTACTTCCTGTTTAAAGGCAGTTTTTCCTTGCCACGGTTACTTTGCTAATTGTTGCTTAGTGCTTTGCTCAGGGTGGATTCATGTTGAGTCTTTGTAAATATTATAATGGTACGGCCTAGACCATGATTAATGTCCCTTAGAACTGCATAGATGACTGTGGCTGAACAAATCTTTTCTGTCACTTGATGTTCTGATGTTTTATATATTGTATTCTGGTCTGCCTGAGTCTGTGATCCATGTTTGTCTATCCCCTTGTCACATAAATTAAAGTTCTGGATTTAAAATACAGCTTTAGCAGCAATACGAAATTGAAAATACTTTTTATTCAATCCATCCAAGCATTTGGATTCTCAAACAGAAACATTGTCATTTTTTTAACGTAATTTCTTAGCTTCGGTGAAAAGTGTGCCTTAAAGGCTTTATATACGATTTTTTGATCCAGCAGGTGTCGCCTTTGAGCACCAGCATGAAACCAAAACAACTCGCGCTGCATTGTTGTGTTAGCATGCTAATGCTAGCGATCTTTATTATACTGGTATCTTCACACTGCATGTAAATTTACCTGAAATGAGCGTGATCTAGAAACACAGTTAAGCAGTGAGTACAGTATGTTATTCTTCTTTTCTCTAGTCCCTCAATTAAACAACTTTTATACACGAGGGGAGGAGTCAGCCGCCGTCCTGGCGATGTAAACAAACTGAAGATATGACTCGGAAACATCACAGACAGTGGGACTCGGGTGTTACACCCATTGTAGACAGTCATTACTCACAGAGTTATTTTGCCTTAATAAAGTTATTAGTATACAGAGATATACTTGATTTATATTATATTTAAGTTTGAAAAATCGCATATAAAGCCTTTAAAGATATAAATCTGCTCCCTGCACTGATCTGTCCAACTGTCTGATTTCGTCCTTCATGACTAATGGGCTTTACAAAAGATTTTCCACAGGGCTTTAGACCAGGGCTGGGCATCCAGCTTTATTTTTTTTATGACTTTGCAGACACAGTCTTATCATCTTGGTAAATGTTTACATTAATACATAACAAGTAATACGTAACCCCCTAGATGTATAAGTGGGTAAACAATGACCCGGGGAGGTTGTTTTTGTGCAATATCTTTGTAATTAAAAGTTGCTATCATATTCCAAGTATTCCGGGGAAAAATGTTTCTGTTGTCATCTTAATAATTAACCTATCTTTCATACATTTTACATGTCGTTTTTGTATTACCAGTCCAAGCTTCCATAAGTGGGTCAAAAATGATCTGCATGCATTTCCTTTGGAATATCATGGTAACCCTTATCAACTGTGGCTATCACAGGGACATATTTCTAAAAGTGTCACCCACCATCACCGTACACTGCAAGGTCTGATACATATCAGGATTCTCTCCATTTTTACCTCAGAAAGTCATCAAATTGATCTAATTCAATATTACAACATTGATGTGTGTATGTGTGTGTGTGTGTGTATCAACAGTCATTGTGAACAAAAGTATTTGTAAACATGTATCAACAAACTAGCTTATCATTGAGTTAGCCTGCACTATCTAACTAACTAAGCTATAGCTAATATAAGCTGATAATACTGTATGAAGTGTGTGTGTGTGTGTGTGTGTGTGTGTGTGTGTGTGTGTGTGTGTGTGTGTGTGTGTGTGCATGTCATACATTCATTG